CCGTCCTACACAAGTCCATCAAGTCACCGCCACCACCAGTGGAAGAGCTCGTGCTGAAAGGTGAAGTACTGCATCATCCCAACGCCATTATCGATAGGAAGGTCGCCCGTTGGCATGTCTTGTGGAGCAGCGGCGACAGTTTCGATGGTCTAAGGCTCTTTCAGGTGCTGGGCGACATTAGAGCTGAAGCCGACCTGCGATCGTTACCACCGCTGACGGGCCCTATGATTCAGGAGGCGGCTCACTCCATGAGGCCTCGTCCTGGCCAAGGAGTGGACCGCTTATCACCAGTAGACATAGAGCGCCTGCCCCCAGAGGGGTTGGACGAACTTGCTCAGCTTCTCAATGATGCTGAGGCTTGTCTGACCTGGCCGTGGCAGCTGCTCCTGGCAATTGGCAGAATGTTGGAGAAGAAATCAGGAGGAGACCGCATCATCGGCCTTGTGGGCATGATGCCGAGGGTGTGGTCGAAATCTAGAGAACCGTGGATCAGTACCTGGTCGACCGACGCACAATCCTCCTGGGGCGCGGCAGTGGCGGGCAATGCGGCTCTTCGCGAAGGGTTCGCCAGAGCCCTCAGTGATGAAGTGCACAGCCTGCTCGGCATTGATTTCTCTAATGGTTTAGTCGATATCCAGAGTTTCTACGACAGCATCTGTTGGATCATATTGGCCACCAAAGCTCTGGAGTTGGGGCTCCCTCCCCAGATGCTGTATTTGGAACTGCAACTATGCCTGTCAGCGCGCACCCTTGCGGCGCGCGACTGTTTCTCGGAACCCTTTCAACCGACGGGGGGCGTGATCCAGGGATTGCGCAGCGGGGCGAGGTTCGCGAGATGCATGACATAGTTCGTGCTCGATCAGATGTCCCAGAGGCACCCTCTGGTCGACATGCGATTGTGGATAGATGACCTGTCGCAGTTTATGGCATGATCACGACAAGTTATTCGTAAGGTCATGGTCAGAGTGCTGCATCAGACGTCTCAGTTGCTTGACGCCGACGGCCTGAAGATTGCAGCGAAGAGTGTGGTTTTATGTTCGAAGTTTCAGGACGTCAAGTTCATCTCGGCCAAGTTGAAGGCCAAGGGAGTTGAGGTCATCCCCGTCCTGCAGATAGCCTACCTAGGCATCGACATGGGGGCAGGGCGCCAGGCCAGGGCCACCGCGCGCAAGCGGGTAGCCAAGGCTGGCGCCATGTCCTCCAATATAGTTCGGTTTGCGAGAGCCTCGAAGAGGTGCCGTCCTGCAGTTCGCCTCGAACGGTGCGGGGCGCAACCAGCTGGCCACTACGGCCACGAGGTGTTGGGCGTCTTCGGGGGCAGCATGTTGAGCATGAGACGGAAGTTAGGGCACGCGGCGAGCTCCTCTCGACGGGGACGCTGCCTCACCACTGTGCTCGACTTGCGATGCCCCGACATGGACCCAGGCTACAGGCTGCCCGTCGACGCAGTCAAGCTCTGGCTGGCGACCTGGCAGTCGGACACCAGGTTGAGAGCGGGCATCGCTCGAGCTTGGCCAGTGGTGGTGTCCAAGCTCACAGCTCTACCTGTGCAGATGTGCTCCCGTCATGTCAGGTGGCCTTTGTCCGCGCTGGTGGCGTATTTGCTGCAGCACAGATGGGGCCCAATTTCACCGTCTGAATGGGGCGCAAGACCTGGGGGAGAGCTGGATCGGGAGGCTTTCATCTTTGATCAGCTCGGCCCAGGCGATGACGTGTCATCTTTAGTTTACGAATTTGACAAGACCATCCGTGCCCACCAGTGGGCTAGTGCAGCCAGCCACTTCTGCGGCGAGGGCCTGCAGGAGGGGGCTGACAACATGTCTTTCCGTCACTTTCTGAAGCTGCTGGAGAGCGCCAAGAAGGGCCACCAGCTAGCAGAAACGATGTTGTGCGTGGCTGCAGGAGGCGCATGGCCTCGGCAGCGCATCATGGACGAGGTTGGGGGTCTCGACACAGCGACCTGCCCGAGATGTGGAGAGGCGGCCGAGACCCCTCTGCACAGATTGTGGCTATGCCGTTGCAATGTCGGGTTCCGTGCATATGAGCAGTCAGACAATCTGACCACAGAGGCGGTGGCTCAACACGAGTCTCATGCCTGTTTTTGGCTCAGGGGGATCTTCCCAGGGAGTTGGACCACAGTGCCCCGTCCTCCTCTTGAGCCTCAGTGGGCCATCAGTGGTTTCAATGAGTTGGGCCCCACCACTCTTGGGGTGGGCTCCCACGAGAGTCCAAATTTCCACTTTGGGGACGCGAGTGGGGGTGAAGACTCCACGGACCCCCGCCTCCGCAGGGTAGGGCTTGGTGTTGTCTCGGTCTCGAGCTTTGAGCCTTTCAGAGTCGGCACTGCGATCCGTGGCCCCCTCCATGGCCCCAAGCAGTCTGTGCCCAGAGGCGAATTAATGGCATTAATTCTAGCAGTACGTTACAGTAGAGGCTTCACGATTTTTGTGACTGACAATGAGTCGGTGAGTGCAGGCTGGTACGGTCGACGATTCCTTGACAATAAAGGGGATAATCAGGACCTCTGGCACGAGCTAGGTCAGCTTGCGGCGTCTAGGGGATTTTCTGAGATTGTCGTTCTCCAGGTGCCATCGCACCAGTCTGCTGCCCAGGCGGTCTCGGGTCCTCACCCGCTTTGGTTGGTTCTCGGGAGTACGGCCGCTGACGAGTTAGCAGGCTTGGCGGCGAAAGAGAACAGAGTTCAGGCGCCAGTCAGGGCGCAAGTTGCTCAGGTTGAACACAAGGCGATCCTAGTTCGAAAAAGGCTTCTCAGGTCTACTCTGGACGCCATGGTTGCCGAAAAGCGGTCCCCTTTGGTCAAAAAAGTGCGCCTGCCCCCCCCCTCTCCTGCGGCTGTGTCTATTTTCACTTCTCAGCACCAGCTCTCGGATGACGGGAGAAGTTGTCTCAGGTGTCGTGGCAGCGCTGCAAAATACGCTCTCACTAAGTGGAGGATCACCCCGTGCCTTGAATTGATTCCGCAGCATAATTCGGAGTTTCTTCGGTTGCCGAGGGGTCAAGCTATTCATATCGGGGGTGGTCTCACGCATGTCAGTCATAACTTATTATATCACAAGAGCCTCAAATTATGGTTCTGCAAGGAGTGTGGATACTATGGGAGTGCCCAGCTCAGAGGTCTGGGCTCCGTTTGTTTGGCCTCCCCCACACCTAAGCGAATCGAGTACATTAGTAATCAATACGACGGCCAGATGCCGAAGTAATAGCCTCATCTATGCCGAGTCCAACTCGGCGGCGGATTGGGTGACGTTTTTAATCGTTTCGCGATCGGTCCATTCCATTCCTCCTCCCTCCCTCTGCCCTCCCCCGCCGTCGTCTTCCTCCTGTCTGTTTTTGTCTCCCCCCCGTGCCCGTTTAGCACATGGCGCTCTCCGGCGGTGCGCGCGTGTTCTCCGCTGGGCCGCTCTGCCTGCTGCCCGGGCCCCTCTTGCTCCGTGAACAGTCGGGGCGTTAAAGAAGGAACCCTTTCCGTTGGGGAGGGGCTCCGTGCTCCTTGATTGTTTCGCAGCTTGCCTTAGGGTGTCCTTAGGCTTTCGATGGGGAATCGAAGCTCCACTTGTGGAAAAAAAGGGGCCTCGTTCCTCATCTAGGATTCCTTAGGGCAACGCCCCGACGGTATGGCCATGGCCACATGGCCCTATGCAGTACACGGGGCCAACGAGCCCAGGCCGCCCTTCAGGGATCCGCGCCGTATTCGACGCCCGGCTCGGCGAACAGGGAGGGGCTCACCGCAAGGAAAAAGGGGGGCAGTGGGGAGGCGTAGGCTTCCAGCTGTGGTGCCCGCGCGTCGATCTCGCCCCCCGCCACCCCCGGGGGTTTTCTTCGCCAGCGGGGGCCCGACTTGGAACCCAATGCAGAGTCCGTGCCAGAGTTCGCACCATCCCCCCTTTGCCCCCCCTGCCATGCTCCACCTCCCCCCTTCCCCCCTCCCCCGCTCCATGTGACCACTGGCCCGAGGCCTGCCTGTTGCTGGCTACGCATCGCTCTGCTTCCTCCTCCGTTCCTCCCACCCAGGGTCCATTTCGATCCGACTGGCCCGAGTCGATGCCGAGTCCACCCGGTTCGATTCGGTTTCGATGTCCCGGCGGCCCGATGCGGCCCGATGCTTGCGTGGCGCTGTACATCTTGGCGCGGCCGGTCTGATTCGAGTCCGGCTCCCTGCCAATGCGGCCCGATCTGACGTAGATCTTGATCCGATCCGAGCTCCCGATCGGATGCCGACCGATGCTGCCCCTGACCCGCGTCGCCGCCCCACGCCCTGAGCCCTCTCCCCACGCCTTGAGCCCTCGCCCCACGCCTGCCCCCGCCCTACGCTCATGTCGGGCGTGTCCCCCTGCTGGGGAATTTTCGACGAAAATTTAAAGATACCCCCAAAATATTTCAAAGTGGTCAAAAAATAGAAAAAGATAGTCCCCAGACTATTTTTGGACTATTGTTGACTATTTGTTGGGTATTTTTTTGTTCGTCGAAAATCACCCTGTAGGGGGACAGGCCCGACTTAACCCTACGCCCTGAGCCCTTGAATTTTCCCGCTCCTGCCCAGGCCGCCCCTCCTCGTAAATTTTCGGAGTGTCGCGCAGATCTCTCGGATTCGCGCTGGGCCCCACCTGGCGGCGCCTCCAGCGCCCCTCCCTGGCGCGCTCTGGTCGCCAGGGAGGGGGGGGGCGGCTCGGCGACGATCCATGCGGAGCTCCGAAAGTTTGCGTCTCTGCCTCGGACGGAGCTAGGACGAGGATAAATCCATTGCAGAGCGTCCCGGAACGCCCTCAGAGCGTTCCAGAACGCTCTGTGGAGGCCGCGGCGCCCGAGACATCCTCCAGAGCCGCCAGGTCTCTCAGAGATTGTTGTCTTATCCTCAACCGATGTTTTCCTCGTCCTGGTTTCGTCTTGCTTCCGCTTCTTGTTCCTCTACCGACACCCTCCCCCCCTCCTCTTGTCCCGCGGCGCCCCGTCCCTCCCCCACCCACACCCCGCGGCACAAGGAATTCCCTGCGGGCCATCTGCAAGTACCTGGAGGGCATGTCCGAGGAGGAGGCGCCCTCCCCGAGGAGGAGGAGGAGGAGGAGGAGGAGGAGGAAGCCTCCTGCTCCTTCTCCTGCTGCTTCCCCTACACCTGCTCCACTGCCCCCTGCACGACCCGATGCTTGGCCCAGAGGTCCACAAGGGGCCCCTGCTCCACCGCCCCCTTCCTGTTCCAACCTGCTCCTCGCCCTCCTCGCCCCCCTGTCGTCCCAGCCACCCGCGGGGACGAAAAGGTCCACTCCGATGCACCTCCTAGGGTGGTTGGACGTTTTTGTTGTTGTTCTCTCTCTCTCTCTCTTCCGCCTTAGTGGCGTGCAATCCTCGCCCCACTCTCTTTGCTACGCGCCTCCCCCCCTCTCGCTTGCGAGGTGCTGGAGCTCAACATCCCGACCGGAGTGTGCTGTCCCTCAGCGCGCGCCCGCCGTCCTTCGGGCAGGAGTGGCATGCGGGCTGCTTCCCGGGTGGTGTCTCCATATGCAGTAACATCAGCATCATCATCCTCATTCTCATCATCTTCATCATCATCCTCATCATGATCATCGTCCTCATCATCATCAGCATCAGCATCATCATCATCACCGTCATCATCATCATCATCATCATCATCATCAGCAGCATCATCAGTATCATCAACATTACCACCTTTATCATTATCTTTATCACTGTCCTTATCATTACCATCATCATTTCCATTGTCGGTATCATTATTTTCATCAGTGCCATTATCATTATCAGTACCACCATCACCACCACCACCACCATCATCATCATCATCATCATCATCATCATCATCATCATCATCAACATCAACAGCAACACCAACACCAACACCAACACCAACATCTTCTTCTTCATCATCACCATCATCATCATCATCATCATCATCATCATCCTTCGCTGTTGAGTAGAGGCAGCGCGCTGTCGCAGTCGCACAGACGTTGTGCCACGCGCCGCCTCAGAGCTTGGCGGCGCGCCCTGGGGAGGGGAAGGCAGAAGGGCCGGGCCGAATTCGTTCCGAGAAGCTCTCTGAGCCTCCTCCCGAGCCAGAGAGGGCTTCTCGGAAGGCCAGACAGTGCTTCTCGGAAGGGCGGAAGGCTTCTGAGAAGCCCCCGCCGTCTTCGAGACGGCGGGCCCCCTCTCACCTCCCCCCAGGGGCGCTCCGCCGATTAGCATGGTCATCCGTACCACTTAGTGCGTCCACCACTCCACCTGTGCTCACCACCGTCACGGCTGGCGACGTCGTCAGCAGTATCATCGACATCCGCATGCACGGTGGTTGAGCTCTTCATCGGACGGGGCTAGGACTTCTGGAACATATCCCTATCCCTATGCTGGGCACCTCCTCATCACGAAGCCAATCTTAGGGATTCCCTTATTTTTTGAGGGCGGATCCCTAAGATTGTCATCGCCTTTTGGCGTGTCAATCTTAGGGATAGGGATACGTTCGAGGCTGGTGATAGGACGAGGAGAAGTCCGCTCCAGAGCGTTCCAGAGCGGTCCTGGAGCGCTCCAGGACGCTCCGAGAAGGCCGCGGCGCCCGAGACATCCCCCAGAGGCGCTGGCTCTCAGACATCCTGGATGGATCCTCGCCCGATGTTATCCTCGTCCTGGCCTTGGCATCTCTCGGACGTGTGCATTCTTCCTTCGGCGAGGACCATCGAGGCGCATCCTTGATCATTAAGCGAAAAAACCACGCACGAAACCAAAGAAAGCACGGGGAATGGACGTCCGAGCGATGTCCAGTGGCTTCGTCGTATCTTTACGAGCAGTGCCATGCTGGTTGATGTACCCACGCTGAGTGTTGTGGCTTCACGCGATGTGGCAGACATTTTCGTCATCTCGCGCCTCTTCATGTGTCCGTGTCTGGACGCAACGCTGCACCGCTCCTGCCGGGCAGGACACGACAGGAGGCATCCTAACGTGCTGCTTGCGATGGTCGTGCATGCTGGACTTTTCGCCAAGGTACCATTCGCTAGACGTTCGAGTCTCGGGCGCGATGGCTCCCCCGAGCACTCTCCAATGTGCTCGGTTGGATACGTTTGTTGCCCTGTCTGGGCGTCTTGGAGCCATCTTGTAGCGCTCCTGGTGCGGTCTGAGGCCGGCTTATAATGGGTTATTGGTTTGTCGTGGGGCCGTTGTGCAGCCCATTTGGGGCCCCCGTCGGCGTCTTGAGGATCCCCAGGTCTCTCTAAAGCCTTTCTGAAGCCATCCTGAGTTCAATCCTAGCACGTCGAAAAGCGTAGAACGACATGGGAATGATAGGTTGTTCATTATTGCTGTTGCTGACCTCAGAGAGCTTCGCTGGAGGCTTCTCAGGATGTTTTTTTTGGTTATTGGGGCCTCTCGGGGTATCTTGGGGCTTCTCGGGGACATCTTGTGGCCTGTATTGGGCCGTTGTTTTTTTTTCGGAGGGCGCCGACTGCACCTACACTGTCTTGGCCGGGCTGATCCTGGGCCCGG